GTGTTTCGAGGAGTTTCTATTATTAGAAAGCCGTTAGAGCACAGTAACCAACCCGCTTATGTGGCGAAAATCCTAAGAGAATATTCCCTATCCAGGGGTCGCGCAGTTTCAGGCAACACCACTTGTGGCAGTATGAAGCCTGTCAGACTTTATCATTAAAATCAACAAATACCGAGATTATTATTCACTGGTCTTTATTTTGTTTTTATGAGGATTCTGATATCTATCGCCAATTTCGTGGCCAGTTGAAGGTGTTAACAGTGGTGTTGATAGAGGGCGAGACAGATATGGCGTTGTAGTGATTTTACGGGACGTGGGTGGAGTTGTTCGCGGTTGGATGTGGCGAGAGGAAGTAGGGTTTAGGGTGCTGGTGGGGGGAGAATTTGTTGCATACGAGAGGCAGCACGAAGAATGATCGCCACACTCAGGAGATAAGTGGCGCGATGCATAACTATCAGCGTCACGAAATGCAGCCCCCGTTGTTTTTTCAACGTATGATTCGACACGGTTGTTATCTTAGTCACCCGTCTCTTGGTGCACAGTCCTCAAGTGTGCATGGGTTCTTCTCGCTGGCGATACTTCACAATTGATGCTCATCTGTAATGAACGAGCAGCTCGTCTCATGCTTGGTTTAGGGCGATGCGCTGCACTGGAGGGTTTTTTGGGGTCATACATTTTGTTGAGGAATTGGTAGAGAAAACAATGCGGCTACAACATTCACCTTAGCGTTAACAGAGCTACAATGTTGGAGAGACTTGCTGAACGAACTGAGCGTAACGTGCTTGGCGAGGGAAAAAAGAAAACGGCAGCATGCAATGCAAGTGGTCTGACCTAATGCTGCAGAATCACGACGCTCCGATTTGATGTGTATGTTTGTGTGTGTGTGTGTGTGCGTGTGTGTTCGCAATCTCGCCAACTGAATGTGAGCTTTTTTAGTGTGTGAAGAATCTGACTGTGCATCAATCTGTAATATCCTTTCTTTGCGAACTGACTGACATGATTTTTCTGTTACTGTTAAGAAGTATTTGGCTTTGCCTCGTTAACGTTTCTGCATTAGGATACCTCATCAGCTCAAAACATGCATGGATTGCATAAAACGTGTGGGTGAGTGGAAGATAGTTAGTTATCCATTGAGGAATGTTATCATTACATCTTTACACGAAATTTACAAATTGTTGAGACTTATCAAAGAGAAACTACTACCAACTAAAAGATGAACAACAAACAAATCAACAACAAAACTCGTCATCTGAGCTTCTCAAAAATTGAAACTATCCCTCCGCATGAAAACCAACTGTCCCAAATGCAAAACCTTTAGATGCAAAAGTCCTAAAATATCGAGCTCTAATACTGGTTAGGGCTTTGATTTCGTTTGTTTACTCATGCTGTGATGTTCAGCAGCAGTGATGAGTGAGGACTTTGAAAACAACAAGGAACATTTTTTTGATGTATAATCTAAGAGCGGCTATAAATGAAGGTGACTAGTCTTTGATTTAATTGAATGCAAAATTTAGAAATGAGATAAATTTGGATAGTTGAAGACATCAGATTAATTTGTTATTTAGGAATCTAAATCCTTGAGTCATAAAAACCATGTTTTTAAATTAATATCAAAAACATTTTTTTTGCAACCTTTGATCAAATTTCTTGACATAGTTATAATAGTTAGACTTGTAAACATGATACTTTACCTTGTTCAACTCAACAACAGATTTTTGTGTAATTATCTAAATTAGTTTTTACATATTTTTTTATGTTTCTTGTAATTCTTTATCAAATTGCAGTCCGCAGTATTACTTATTTTAGACAGTCTACTTATAACAAATGGTGTCTATTTATAGATTTAATTTTTTAAACTTGATTGCTATATAATATTTTAGCATGTAGCAACTATAGAAGAATTTTATATAAATAAATAAATCAATATTTTTTGGTTAATTTAAGATGTTTTACACAATTAAAAAGCTTCTAAATGTTATCATCCACATAATTTTTTAAAAAATGATTCTTATTTTCAAGAAATTAATAAAAAAAAATAAACAGTCTGTAAGGACTATTACATTATCTTACATTTTAATGTGTTTTCTTATTTATGTAAATTATATATATATATATATATATATATTTATTTATTTATTAGATTTTAAATTTTTGATATGATTCTAAAAAAATAATTATAATTATTCTACAAATGTTATTGTTAATTAAATGACATATTATAATGTACTTAAATAAGCCTTATATTAAAATAATAGATACAACATTCTATACAATACAAAATTTTCTAATATAAACCTTGTGCAACTTTCAAAAATGTAATCTCCATTTCTAATTTGTGATTATATAAACCTTGTGCAAATTAGAAATGGAGATTACATTTTTGATTTGAACAAAAGAAAGTTTACACAACTAAAAAAAGATTTTTTTTATGATATCATATTTTTATTTATGTACATATATGCATTTATATAAATATTTTATATTTATTTATATATTTGTTTTAAGATGTTTTTGAAATTCTATACTATTGATAATGAGTTTAATCAACTTTGTCCTATTGTTATGTGATCATTTTTTAAAATACTGAATTCGAGTGTATTTCTTAAAAACACTGTTGTAATTTGTAAAAATTTACAATCTTTTTATATTATATACACATCTTTAAAAATTAAGAATATGTATATTATTTTAAAGATTTTTTCTTCTGCATTATAGATTAAATATGTCATCAACAAAAATATTCTATATGTATTTTAATTTTATGTATGTGAAAAATATTAAATTTAAAACTATATTATAAATTAATTATTTTAATCTATAAATTAATGTAGAATAGACTATATGAAAGGAAAAATAATTAAAATGAAATAAAAAGGATACAAATTGTGAATTGAATAAACTCACAATTAATTTTTTAATATTTTATTTATACAACATTAATTCTAAGAGTCTTCCATTTTTTATTTTTTATTAGAGATACTTTTGTGCAATGATAATCAAAAAATGCAAACATTAGAAGATGTAAATTGGAATTTTATAATCACATGGATGTTTTGAAGATACACAAAGACTTCTAAGTGAAAAGAATATATATATATATATATATATATTAAAATACAGTGAAAAAGATTGTAAATGATCTTGTCTCTATATACACTATTTGCTAGATTAAAGACTAGTAGTCTGAGCTTCTAATATCTTGCCATCTAATCTACCAAACAAAACATCTTCAAAAAGCTTCCAAACCATACTAGTCTCTTAAGTTTTGTCTTAAATTTATTATAGAAAGGTATTAGAAATTAACTTTTAAAAAATACAAATCATAATTAATGTCTTTATAGTCTTTTGCAAATTTATTCTATTATTTGTCCATTATTTCTTTTAACACACATATGGATATATATATATATATATAACAAAAACCTTTATTTTATTCCCTACTTGATTGTTCCATGAAGCCCATGTTGTTTCTTGTATACAAACCTATATATAGCTTTATACTACTTTTATTATGTTTATAATTTGGATTGTACAACAAATTCCTATATGCACATGTTTGCTTGCAATTGCCACTTTTCAACTTCCAAACCATAGCCATGAAGGTTACTCATCCATTCATCACAACACATACATTTTTGCTATCTTCCTAGTCCCAAGCAACACCCACATTTTTGTGTTGATGCTAAATATTCATTCAAGACATTAAAATGCAAGACCCACATGTTTGTTTTTCTTCTCATGTGACATATGTTGAGTACACTTTCAAGGGCTGTAGTAGAAACATCAAGGTAGTTTCGAAACATGCTTTTACAGCCATATCTTGAAATGTGGTCTCACTTATCATATCTCTCTCTCTCTCTCTCTCTCTTTATATATATATATATATATATATATAAAATCTGCACTGCAGTGACAAACAGTGTTGGTTAGCCTCGGCAAAAATGAAGATTCAATGAAGAAGAGTCTATACCATTTCCAACCCAAGAGTGAACAAAACTATTCCTATTCCAGGCAGCTTCCATGGTGGTAGGATTCTGGCTTGCAATAGAATACTTTAAATGCATGTTCCTGTGCACACAATATAGGGCCATAATTCAGGATCCAGGGTTTTGTTTGCAAGCAGCGATTAGAAACAAAGAGAGAAGGAAAGCACCTCCCTCATCGGCCAGATTAGATGCCGATCCGAATCAAGCCCAAAACAAATGAACAATAATAATAACAACGACAACAACAACAACAACAATAACAATAATAATGTGGAGGACAACTGATGCTGTGACCCCCATATTTTCAAATTTCAAAGGATATTCTTAACCGATAGAAGCCCCTTCCTGCCCTACCCCTATCCTCCCCCACTCCCTAACCCTACTTTTTTAAATCTTCGCAACTCCCGAGGCCGTATTGGTTTGGAGTTGAACACGTTCCATTCAAAGGGGGATTAAAAAAGGTGCTTTTGACCCACAAACCCACAAACCCAGAATGAACCCCTGATCCGCAGTGATGCACCACGAGGAGGCAACGACGACGACGACAACAACGCATCATCCTATCTATCGAGAGTATATCACCCACTTACCCATTTTGATTCATTAACAAAATATCTGTTGGGTGTGGCCCAAATCCTAATTGCCCAGCCCAGCCCAGCCAGGACATTCCCATTCCCATTCATTCTTTTATTAATTCATTCATCTTTCCGAAGCAGGCTCGTGCCAGCAAGGGTGGGGGGTTCTGGGAAGCGGTGCCAGTGCTTAGAAAAGCGTTGAATTGAAGCTACAACTGCGAATATCAAACTAATAATAAATAAATAATAAAAAGCCACTTGGGTGGGTGTGGGGGGGAGGGATGTGGAAACGACAAAGCAGGGTGGTGGCCAACCGGAGGGGGGGTGGGCTGGGCTGGGTGGGGGAATCCGGCAGAATAGGGCGGAGATAGGAGCTGGGGGCAAAAAATCAAAAACATAAAAATAAAAATAAAATCAAAAGAGAAATAGCTGATGAAGAAGAAGAAAACAAAACAGAAGTCGAGGACTGTGAAGAAGGTGGATTTGTTGGGAATAGACCCTTGCGGTACGAGAGAAAGAGAGCAAAAGGATGTGTTTGCTGCACCTCTGTAATCTCGCGCCGAAGATGCCCGCCCGCGCACGGTGAATAGTTGGACGATCTCTCTTCCATTTTGGACAAAAACTCTCTACACACTGACGGGGTTTGTGGTTAGATCCAGCGGGAGAGAGAGAGAGCGACACCGAGCGAGCGAGAGGGCGAGAGAGAGCCAGAAAGCGAGAAGGGTGTGCTTTGATGGCACTGGCGTGCATTGTCAGCAATTGGAGGGCGGGGAGATGATGTCAGACTGCTAACATGTTTTGTTTTGTTCCTGTTCGGGGTCTCGTTGTTCTCTCTGCCAGCCTGGTTGGTGCTTGCTGCGTTGGCTTCGATCGGGTGTGGCGATGCTGATGATGGAGATGGAGACGGTGATAGTGTCGATGCAGGTGGGAGGTAAAGGCCAGAGGTGAGAGAGAGATTCAGCGATGGTGTCAGGGTGTGCTGTGTAGGTCACACATGATTTCGGCATCACGACGAGGGGCTGTGAGTGATTTGGTTAGATTTTGGATTTTGAGGATTGATGCAGGAGGTGATTGAGAGTTGGGTTGGAGTGAGTGTGCATTGGAAGGATGGAAGGCAGTGAGAGTAGAGATCTAGGGGAGCGGGGTTTGTGAGGTTTTGAAAGTGGAAGTGGGGTCTCTATCGTGGAGGATCGAGAGGTGAAGGGGCAGACGGAGACGGAGTCGGTAGGGAGGGATGGGGTCTAGGGCAGGGAGCAGGCTTCCCTTCCTTATTGTGTCGCATGAAGCGGTGGTCGTGAGAGCGGAGGAATGGCTCACTATGAAAAAGGATTCCAAGTATGGAGACAACTTTGCGGAGAAGCGCATGCGAGGTGCGGCCAGGCTTGCGAGAGTGGAGAAGGGCGAGTCAAGCTCCAGTGTCGCAGGGCCGCTCGGTCCTTCCGCCGCCGCCGCCGCCGCCACCGCCAAGCTTCTTGACGTGGAGATGTTGTCAGAGGATACTTCACAACCCTTATCCCCGTCTTACAAGCTCGATGGTTAGTGTGGCTGTATTCCTTACTTCTCTGTTATGGGCTGTCGAGATGCTGTCTTTGTGATATTTCCTCGCCTCCTCAGTTGTCTTGCGTCCTCTTTTCGTTCTGTCAATCTTTATGGTATGTGAAACTCCGTGAGGCAAAGGTTATTTCGCTTTAGATACTGTTCTCTGTTTTGCCTGTTGGTTTTGCCTTGGTCCTAGGTTTGCGGCTATTGTGTGCCTGTTAGGGATCTCTTGTCGATTGTTCTTAGGTAATTGGTTCCCTGCCTTCCTCTTCATGTCAGTTGAGCCGTGGTAGTACTTCAAAATTTTATCTAGAGTGTTCAAGAGATTAGTATGGATTGAGATTTGTTTTTGGGTTAGAGAATTGGAACAAAGCTTTACTTTTCCCTTAATGGTGCGATCTGATACTCCTTCCTTATCAATTCTGCACTTGAATACTCTTAGTAATTACAATGAATCTGTATGGTACGGTAATCAGATATTGATAGAGATGGAGCTTCTGATCAAAGCACGAGCCATGTGCTGGAAAGACCACCGCCAGCTCTGGCTGCTCTCTTGGATGAAACCCTTGTAAGCTTCAGAGAGCAGTACGAGCTCTACCTTCGGACGGCGGAGTGCCTCCACGTTCTATGTGAGCATCGAACCGAAAATACTTTTCCCCATGATCTGGCGGCTGAACCTGTTATCATTCTTGGCACGCCTCAAACTCTAATGACCGCCACAGGAAGCGCCAGAATGATCCTTCGTGATTACAAGAGTGGCATGTTAGATCTTCACATAAAGACGAGGCAAGCGGAGCTTGACTACTATATGGATTGCTTGGCCTGCGCACCAGCCGTGCTAGAGGAGAAAGTGAATTTATGCTTTCCGAGTGCAATGATCACCGAGGACGAGGCAGACAGGGCTTCTGTCGATGACATTATCAATATACGCAAAGAATGGAACAACCGGGTTGTGGATGAATTTAGCGACAAAGCGTTGTCGGTGCAAATCGACGTCGCATCCATGTACTCTGACACCAGCATCCGCATTGTGGCTGATTTGCTCAAGAAGCGGCGTGAGGAAGAACGACTGGCGCTTATGCCACTGCAAGACCGCATCTGGAGTGGGCTGCCCGAGGATTTGATTGACAGGACTCTTGCATGCCTGCCAGTTCCAAGCTTCTTCCGTTTTCGTTCCGTGTGTAAGCGCTGGAATACTCTCCTCAAGACTAATTCTTTTCTTGAGCTCTGGTCTGATGTCGTGTCCCAGCAGCTCTGGCTATTCTCTATTTATGCCAAACATCCCACGGAGATGGTGGCGATGGCGTATAATCCTTCCCTGGGCATCTGGCATACTGTCCCTGTTCCCCAGTATCTCTCCAAGATGTACACCTTGGCTTCCGCCGGGGGACTTCTATGTTCTGCGGCATATCCTAATCGCCTTGCTGTTGTGTGCGTTTGCAACCCTCTGACTACGCAGTGGAAAGATTTACCCAGCATGCTCTACATAAAGCGTGTGCATTTGCTTGGTATGGTGGTGGACAAAGTCACAAGGGAGTACAAGATTGTCGTTGTTGGCACACAGTCTAGGCAAGATCTGGTATCCAACACGGAGGTTTATGATTCCGCAACTGGAACCTGGGAAATCACAGGCAGGGCTTTGGGTTCTTTTACTAGCCACCGTTTGGTTTATTGCAACGGACTATTTTATAATCTTTCTGCAACAAGGGGATGGCCTGTAACATTGATTCTCCATGCGTATGACATCGAGTCACAGATCTGGAGGGAGGAGATCCGGTCTGCCATGCTGTTGAATTTCCAGGCGCCTCCTTCGCTGGTGGAGTGTCAAGGCTCTCTTTTAATTGTTGGGAGAATATCAGAAGACAGCCATTTCGCCAAACCTAAAGCTATTCGACTTTGGGAGCTTAAGGAGAAAGAGACTGGTGGGGAGTGGATAGAGGTTGTTACCATGCCACCGGCACTCTTAGAGGAGTTTTGTAAGGAGTGGACGCGTCCCACTCATTTCCGTTGTCGAGGGTTGGGGAGCGTTATTTATTTCCTGAGCTCACGGGCACTCATGTACGATTTGTCCCAGAAAGTTTGGCAGTGGCTCCCCAGTGGCCCTGGATATCATTATGACCACGTATTACCGTTTGAGCCAAGACTGGATGTAGTTGTCTAAAAATCCACTTTCGTATCTATTTCCAAGGGTGGCACAAAGTTTCTCGACTTCTTTGCATGAAGATTTTTGGTTGATTTCGGCTTTAAATTGGTCAAACACAAGATATTGCCGAGTAGCTGTGGCATTTTTGCGTCAGGAAAGATAGAACCGTTCCAGATTTAAAGGCTTCTCTCTATTAAGGTAAGCATTCAGTTGCGCACTGCGGATATTGTTCCCTACCTCTGTATCTATTCTGTCTGTACATATACATCCGTAAGATCATTTCTTTAAAGTGCTCACCTAATATCAATCTTTTATTATGTTGAATTCGGTCTTCAACTCACTCAGCTAGTCATTTATCTGCTAGTTTCAATTCTTCGGGTGCTTCAAAATTTATCGTTTGAGAATATTTAGCACTCTGGTGGCAACTGGTATGTCCAGCATACCAATAAAGTCAGTTTGATAACTACTGACTTGATTCATCATGCTTGCGTTCTCTATTAACAACTCCTGATGTAATCTTGTAGGATAATGGAGCACATTGCTTCCCAGTTCAAGAATCTTTAGTTTGTGGCAAGAGCAGCAGAGTGACCAGCAGTGCAAATTCGATGTCACATCAATATGAGGATTCTCCAGTAAGAGCAGATTTTGCAATTTGGAGTCCCTGTATGGATGAATCGCAACTTGTTTATTTGGAAGCAGAGAGTTGATCTACCTCTAAGGGTGCAAGCTTGGGCATCAGTAGTGCCCGATTATGCTTTTTGGCTTGATGGTCGCACTGAGTTGCCCGTTATGTTTACTAGGTCAGACTTTCGTCTGCAGTAAGCAGCTTTATGTATGCCGGATGTCTAAGCATCCAAAATGTGCGTGGTTTGAGTGTAGAAGGTGCACTTTTACAGAAGTTGCCCTTTTGGGTTTGTATTTGGTTTCAGTTGTTTTAGAGCTTGCCATTGTGGAAAATGAGCAATTGGCAGTGTTTTTGACGGTTTTCTCACTCTACGTGAATAACGATCTAGTTTCTTGCATTTGCTTTGAAATCAACTGACCTTGTCCCACGCTTTTATTAGATCCGAAAAATCATTGTTATAGTAACGAACATCTGTGTGCAGACATACCATGAACTTGGCTTTATTTGAAGTGAACGTAGTGAAGATGTTGCACTGAAGATGCTCCTAAGCTTCACGAAGTCTTTCCATGCAAGATTAGATGCAAGTAACTGGAAAAAGCGAGCTCAATTACTTTCAATTTGGCGGTCAGTTTGTGATTGCCTTTGAGTATACAAAAAGCATCGTGGTACTGGTATTGGTATGAATGTGTCCCTTGTGTCCCTTTCTATTTACTTGTGTATTTTAACGTAATATACTATTGAAATTAGTATTTGACTACTAATAAAATAGACCACACGCCAACTCGTGACTTGTGAAGTAGATGAGACGAATCTTAATTGGTGATCTTAATTGGTGATCTTTTGAGGACCCTCAGGACTATGAGATGGGTTCAATTATTTTTTCTTTGGTGTTGGAGTCTTTTAAAGAACTTTGAAATTTAGTTTTGAAAGTTAATACAATGCATAGCAATATATTATCCATTTGTGTAATAATGTATGTCTTGACTTCTTGTTAATTGTTGTTGAAATTATGTCTATGATGGCATAATCACATATCTTTCAACCATAAAAAGAGTTATAAGTCATGAACATGGTTGTAGAGTACAATCAATGTGTTGTATATTGGTTATTTAGGGATTGTTTTCAAAACTTAGTTGCTAAGCTTGTAGCAAATTAAGTTGTGTTTTTATCAATGCCCTATTTATTAAGATTATTTAAAAGAATGAAAGGGTCCAACTTGGTAAGTGTATTGTCATTATACATAATTTTTTATTTATAATAACAAAATCTATCTTAGGAATCAATGAGCTAGTTGCCATTTGATTCTTTGGCCTTAAAAGAAATTATATTATGTAGAATGCTTACAAAGAAGATTGGAAGTGGATGCTTAAGTAAAAGCATTAATATGATTAAAAGGTACATAAAAAGAAGTTGACAAAGTGATCATTGACAATAATGAATAGAAATAAAAAAACAAATAACTATAGCCAAAAAAAAGATCAATAATTAAATAAAACTATATTAAAAAGGTATATGCTTAAAGAATAAATTAATTGCAAGTCAAGGTTGCTTATTTAGGACAAGATAGGTATGTACACGAGATCCCACAAACCCTAAACAAGTAAATAGAAAGCTACTAGAATGATACCAAAACTTAGTACACAATTATATATGTAGAGTGTTAAAATTGTGTTTCTAAGGTCATTGCATTTCTAGCTAGTAATATTGGCATTTGGAGTTAGTTAGTAAAGGCTAATGAAAAAACATATCTAATTTATATACCAAAGAAGGTAAATATTTGTACAAATTTATTCTAATAAATATTTTGGATATGTCTAAAATTCTTTAATATCTTGGTTAAGTTAGTAGCCAAATAATAATAAGAATAGCCTAAAGTTGAAAGAAATCCAAAGGTAATGTAAGAGATAATGCAATATTTAAAAAAATAATATAGTAAAGATTAACAAAGTCACTTAAGAATTACAATCAATGAATAGCAACTACTTGTATTCAAACTCAACACCATCTAGATATTATAAATCCCTTTTGTCTCGCATAAGAGATTTTCAAGGGATTATTTAACTAATGAAATATAAAAACATGTATAAAGTTTTTTTTTTTTTTTTTTTTTTTTTTTTTTTTTGTTGCTTCTAAATGAGAGTAGTATATAAGCAATAGGCAAGATATAATGTCTTTTGCTTAAAGTTGATTCAATAAATAATAGTTCATACAATTGTTTTCTTCTATAGAGTCAAATTTGGAATAATTTTGAAAATTCTTTACAATTAAAGTAAGAAAATTAATATATATATATATATATATATATATATATATATATATAATATTAAAACTGTGTTAAAAATATTTAGATTAAGTTCCAAATTAGGATTTGATACAAAATACCAAAAGTTTAATAAAATCTTGATTATTAATGATTAAATATTAATATAAACAAAATAACTAATCTTTCATGCTACTAATGTGGTGGCAACTTGTAAATACAAAATATAATTTTTAAGTGAATTGATTTTATGATGAATGGATAAAAAGTATATTTTCATTTATCTTTTGAATCCTAATCAATTATCTATTTGTCTAATTTTAAAATCAAGATGATAAAATATTTTAGAGTTTTTAAAAGAACAAACTTAAGAGAAACATAGTAGATTACTTAGAGAAGCATCTACAATATATAAGGTATGTAGACAACATGTGAGGATAAACATTTAGAGTTGCAATGTAACAATAAATATAAATAATTTAAATAAAATTTAAAGATTTGACTTATAAATATAATGCATATAAAAAATCTTATTTTGGTCAATAAAGGACCAATGTGAGTAAATGAGGCTTGTAAAAAGTCATTTTTAAATTAATAATTTAAAAAATCTCAAATTATTAGATAAAACATAATATAAATTTTAGAATTGTAAATATCTAAAAGAGATGAATGAAAGTGAAAGGTTGTTAAAGTATTAAAATTCGTATTGACAAAAATATGGAAAATATAAGAATACAAAAAAAAAAAGTAATACTAAAGAAGCATATGGTTTGTAATATTCATTTTTTTAAAGTTTTATTTTTTTGATTTTAAATTAAAATTCAAAATTATATGCAAAGCTCATTTGTAGAAAAAAAAAAAAAAAAAAAAAAAACAAAAAAAAAAACACAAAGTGTAATTAGTATTGAAGATTGTAATAAAAGCATTGAATATTGTGAAAATATTTAAGACAAATAGAAAGCTAGTTAATTGGAAATTACAGTACTAAGTTAATTATATCCATATAATATCTTTTAACCTAGAATAGTCGAGGGCATTTTTTTTTTTTTTTTTTTTTTTTTGTTTTTTTTTTTTCATATAAGAATTTATTAGAACATAGAAATATTTCAAAAAAGATAAAAAATAAAACCAATGTCAAAATTACAAAGAATAGAATTTATAAAGTCTATTCTTGATAGAAAAAAATTAGTCTACAATCTTTTTAAGAAACAAATTACCGAGGCTTTTAAGGACTAACATATTATCTTATAGAATCTTTGTGATGGATTTTAAAAAGTGCAAGAAATAAAAATAAAAATTGCTATGAATATATTTTATATTTATTTGATATATTTTGAGTACTTTGAGGTTTTAGAAGGTGCTTATATAGTCTAATATTTTTAAAGTTTTAATAAATGTAAATAAATATCAGAATTTTAGTTGTAAGACTTACTCATTTATTATTTTTTAATTATACATTAGAATAAATTATTTTATTCGAAATAAAATTATATTATATATATAATTTTTTTGGATAATAGCTATTTTTTTTAAAAAAAATAGCATTTCTAGTATATTATTGAATATATTAAGAATAAGGATTATGTAGTGTATTTATGTATTTTAATATATAATTCATCAATAAAAGATACCAATAAGCACCTCTTGCAAGAAAATCATTAACAAGTTTAAATTCTACTAAAACAAAATTTTAGGTGTTAATTGCATTTATAAAAGTTCTACCATGTTTAGAAAATTATTGTAAGAAATTATTTTTTCATAAGAAAGTGCTAATAACATGATTTAATTCTATAAATCTATAAAATGCATACAACAGTTGTTTTTGATCTTGTGAATACTATTGAGGGTGATGACTATATCATGAAATTTGAAAGTTGGTACAATCAAAAGAAAAAGTGCATGTCAATTTTTAACCTATAAAATATATGCTGGATTCTAATCTAACATATATTTAAGAGACACCAATGCAAAATTATGTAAAACTTGAATTATGATATGATACAATTTTTTTTTTTTTTTTTTTTTTTTTTTTTAGAAAAACAAATTGTAAGGCTCAAGAACATGTTTTGTAGGCATTGAACATTATAAGAAGATGTCATAAAAAACCATCTATTAAACCTAAAAATGTGTTTATTTGTTTTTAAAAAATAAAAGAAATAAAAATTGATTATAAAAAATATATAATTTTAATTTTAATTTTAATTTCTTTTTTAAATACTAAATAATAAGGCATTATTTTCAAAGAATATCTAATTTTTTAAGACTGGAATTGAAAAAATATAATATTTATTATAATACTCAATCTGATTTTTGATTAACTATAAGAAACATATAAAAATCATTTTAATATACTCTAATAATTTTTAGTACAATATCCTAGATGTAGAATTAAAAAAATGTGGTAAATATTAGAACATGCGGTCTTTCTGACATAAAAAAACATATAAACTAAGCTTTTTATTTATTTATTTTATTTTGTCATACATTTAATATTTATAAATTTGGTCCAAAGAAATATATATTTTTATTTATTGATAAAATAAAATACTTAAAAAAATCCATAATTTTATTAAAAACTCTTTGTTTTATAATTTTCTTCCATATATTACTTTATTGATGCATATATATCAAATTTATATCCAATAAGATATAAATTTGAAAAGTTATTTATTGATGGTGTAATGATGTTCTAGATTTGTGAGCAATTTAAATACAAAAAATTATATAGTTTTTTTCTTTTGTTATTTGAAGCTATAAAATTTCAAGATAGTAATTTAAAAATAAATTATTTTGGTCTTTGTATGTTAAACTACTATCTTTATTACTTAAATATTGGAGATACTAAGAGTTGATGCAATTTTGATATTTGAGCTTTTAATAAAACTAAACTATTTGTATAGCCTATGCAATAGAGGTAGAAAACTCACTTGATGCTATCATATCACAGTAGCATGTAAATTCACATTTAAATATTTAGCTAGTTAAACAATATTAATTTTAATTTATGGTTGTAAATAATAAATAGGATTTTTTGCAAATAATTAAGCTCTAATTTAAAATCTATATGTCATATCTAATATTTTTGGATTATAGAGAACAAAAGTTAATTTTAGATAAAAACCAAAGTAATAGACTTGATTACACAAAAATAAAATCTATTTATTTACCATTAAATTATAAATAAATAAAATAAAAAAGAATGTAAAAATTAAATCAAACAAATTTTATTACATTTGGTTCAAAATATATTATAGATTAAAAATAAAAAGACTAAAGGTAGATTAATTTAATTAAAAAATAATTTATTTATATGTAATTTTTTTTATTCTATATTTTATTTTAATTTTTTAGATTTGAAGAATAAATTTATTTCACATCAACAGATGTAATAGATTAAAAGTAGATATATATATATATATATATATATATATGGATATATATAGAATAAAATTTAAAATTTTATTACATAGATTTTGAGATTAATAGTATACATATTTAGATTTAAATCGTTTTTTAAAAACTAAAATATTAAAGAAGAATTTCTAGTAGCAATAAAAATAAAATGACTAAATTATAAGAAGTAGCTAACTTATACTAATTAAAATAAGATATTTTACAAAATATTTTGTGATATTATTACTAAAACAAATTACAATAGTTATAATAAAGTATCAACAACTTTAAGACACTTTTATATTCTATATTTATAATTTTAAAAATATTTTTGTAAGATAATTTATAATAAAATTTGAAGAAAATAACAACAATCTATATATTCTTATTATTGATGGAGTAGATTGCTTTTTAGAACAACAATAAAATATGGAGGATAAAACCTAAATGTGTAGAAAAGCTCTCTCTCTCTCTCTCTCTCTCTCTCTCTTTATATATATATATATATATATATATATATATAATTTATTTGTCACTGATTATTAAATTTTATTACAATTAACTTGAAATACAACATTTGCAATATTTGTCACCACCTTTGGATGCACTTCCAATATACAAGTGGACTTATTCAAGATACAATATAAAGTCAAAGGAATCCTAATTTTTTTTATAGATACCACCAATAGAGTTGGGATAATTTGGAATGCAACATCATGAATGAGATTTTATTGAGTAGGACAAAAAGTAAAGATGGCCTTTCTTAGCCATTATTTTGTTATTTTATGTGCATTAAAGTCACGTGATTATATGCCTATTTTGTTTCTTTTGGTGGATCTATGCATGTGTACTTGTTCTACTATGTTGTCCATAAACTATAATTTAATTTAATGTGATACTCAATTTCCAATGATGATACACTACACTATTATCTTGGCTAAAATAATATCCACCTAATAATATGACGTGGATATGGAAATGTACATATCTAATCCCATCCAAATACATTCTACTAAAGTGATTGAACTTTGTTGTAATATTATAATGTATTTGGATGGGATTAGATATGTACATAAAATACATAATGTATTTGGATGGGATTAGATGAGATTATTGTTTCATTGCAAAAGTTCCTTGTGGTGAGGACCATTACAGGGCAATGGAAAGATAGCACTGAAGTGCACAACAATATAAGAAAGGCACTTAATTTACATACAGGTGGTAAATCCAGATGAACGTTGGCTATGTGAATTTCCATGTGAGCCTTCAATCAGCACCAACGAGGTTTTCTGTCGCAAATCGACTGGAAACTGTCCAACGCTTGTAAACCACGTCGAGGGTCACTTGACATGGCCTTTTCCTCAGTTGTGAACAAATCAGAATAACAATAGAAGAGGCCAAACGAGGCAGGTGTAGTGAAGTGGAGCCTGCGTGAGAAGAAGAAAAAATACCCATAGCCTGCGAAAATGATCCTCATCCGATGCCTCAGTGTGAGGCGGCATCTGAAAAACCATATAAAAACCGCTTGAAAGAGGCAGCGTAGCACAGGCCCCATCTGAAGTGTGAGCAGTATTCCAAGCTCACTGAAGTATTTTGCACCTGCAACGAGTTCAAATCTTCATGTGTTGACTTTTGGTAGACTTGAGAACTTGAGTATTTTACTGTTGCCATTGAATACAATGGATAACCCTGAAAGAGGGATGTTACAGGAAAGGAATAATACAGACCACAGCACATACAATTATCCAGATCTCCTGGATTGATTCGATTGGGATAAACTATCTGAACTCATTTGACTACCAGAATTGAAATATAAAAAACCAGAGGTCAATGAAGATCTATCAATTGCAGCAAAAGAACAATTGTTAATCACGTGACAACAAATCACTCAACAGCATAGATTGCTAGAAATTTTGTAGATGTATCCATTCACAAGTAACACAATCTGTGGTCTTGAGAATCTCATGATATCTCAAAGAACCTCGAAAACTTTTTAAAACCTACGCTTGAACTTGTTTTTTGTCATGACTCGTGAAGACTATCGAAACAAAAATCCGTAAAATACAACCTATGTTCAGAATACGTCTTCTTTATTTACAAGTTCACAATCTGCCAACTTTTAGGGACTTATGGGATACCCAGCCTAACTGTGGCTTAAGATGAAAATTGCATGTGACAAGTAAAAATACTTAGACTAAAAATTACCTCCTTGATTTACTAAGTCCTGGAAGGTCGTCTAAATCGTCATCCAAACTACCCATCTCTTGAGACGGAATCTGCAGATGAAATGGACAACAGATAAGAATAATGTATAAAAGTATTTTGAATCAGAGGAGGTTTATGTGTTTTGTTGTAGGTTCTACTGGCAGGATTTAAGCACAGGTAGAATTACTTTCTTGTCCATCAGTGCTGAGATTGATTCGATGCTAGTGTACCAAGCTACTAATGCTATCAAAGAGAATACGATATTCACAAGTTCTTAACTATCACGAGAGAAGGATTTTCTCTGAGAAAGAATAATTGCATACCTGATATTCGGTTTCAGGCTTCTCTATGAAAGCGCCTAACGGAAGATTGTGAACGCGTGGATATGGGATCTTATAATGCCACGCAATCTGATATCTCTTCTCCCCTTCATCTATCTGAAAAAACCAGCACAACTCATCACAGAAGGTGTAACTTGATAGGCCAAATGTTGTGACCAAATCACATTGAATTACACACGCCCCCAAAAAGCAATCACTTGGGCTCAATCGTAAAGCAGAAGACTAAGATAAGGTAGAAGAGCTTCAAATATCGTGGCATCTGTAACCAGGTAACACAACTCACTCCCTCCCAGAAGCAATCGTTCTCAACAACGAGTTATTGAGCAAGAAAACGATAAGAAACTGGATCGATTGCAATATAAAGAGAAAGCATACACAGCTTTAGAAGGGGATGCTTGGAATTGGAATATACCTTTTTAGCAATTTCATCAGGATCATTGAGATGCTGGTTTCTTCTAAACAGAATGTAAGCCTCTTCCTGCAGTTTAACACATCGCAAGTGCCTTAAAAGAAATTTCACGATTGGTTCACCAAAGCTTCGAACGTACTTTCGATTAAGATATTTCCTATCCAGTGGTAAAGCTTGAGTCACAAAACATGCTGTTGTAGACCCAGCACGACGTGAATTAGTCCATATGAATGAGGTTTGACTAGCTGAAAATGGACACAACAAGAGGAGTTAGAAAGATTTTAAGATTAGCATTCTATAGCAAATGCGATGCAGTCCACTTGACTTGTATCACAGGATAGGAAAGCACTAACATAAATGTACTGCTTTTCTTTGGGTGGTCCTGGCCATGTGCGAGATGATCTCATGAGCGACCGGTACAATGACAAAGCTCTTGTCCGCAATGCTGCATCTGCCATCGGGCTCTGCCTTGAGCACTACCTGCTTTTTGCCACCAAATATTGCTCGATACCTTACTCAGGCTCAGATTCGACAGGCAATCATCTAGCAAAATCATATAGGACAGAGATCAGAAAATGCATCCATGGTATCCGACCTGATAGACTCATAATGAGACAAGCCTCATTATCTCATCAAGAGTGCAACGGAATGACAGGATCTCTAAGTGGTCTACAACGGCTACTAAAACTCAACTCCAGAAATGTTTACTACTGAAGGCAATAAAAATATAATTTGCGAAGAATCATTTCACTAAATACCGAGCGAACGAAACTTATCAGGATAAAACGAGACAAGTGAATATAGACCAAACTAATCACTATACCACAATCCACACAAATCTCACAAGTCCACCACTCAACTATTGACCTAATATGCACTAATACAAATCATCACAAAGATCAATCATACTTTACGACCTCATCCCAGTACCACAAACCCTAAACCCTCATGAAATTGCTCACGATTGACAGAGAAATCTCCGCCAACGCAATACACAATTCGTAGAATCTTACTACCACAACATGATCAAAAAACAACTGCAAGGAAAATCCCTAAAGAAACCTCAATTCGTCTAAAAATACTCACGGTTAGGCCGCGAATTGGTAATCGCTGGAGCTGCAAACTCGCAGGGTGCGAATCGAAGAACCATGAACGCCCCAAACCTTGCTGTGAGTGAGGGCCTGCCCGCTGAAGTTCCCCATGATGCGTGCAATTGTTCACAACGTTCTCGTCAAGGGAGCTTTTTGCCCTTCGTCTATAAATACCAAAAGTACTCACTCCGCTCGGAAATGCCAATGCTCGTCCGCCTCACCGAGGCCTCTCACGATGTTTTGCATCCTTCATAAGAGTGAGGAGGATCGCCCTTTCGAGTCGACGACCAAGGTAAGCAAATTTCCTCAGCACTCTTGTTTTACAACAGTCAACTGTACTGTGTTCCACATTCACCGGGTCTGTGCAGGAGTCAGACGGATTTGTGAACACTAGCCTTAATGTGAGCGCTCTCAATGTTTGTGGCTACGTGTTTGGTACTTCCAGATACAGAATGCCTCCGTGCGACGGGACTAGTCAGTAACGTCCATGGTAGGCTATCTGAACTCTGGAGATTCGCCACAGCAGCTGCGGTAGATGTGAGCGTAGACATCCAGGAACGCTTGGTTGACATAGATATTGCAAGAACAGCCCCGCAACTTGATGCTCGAACGCATCTGCGCCAAGTAGCATTTCATGCGAGTCAGAACGTCTCACCGCAACTTGTAGAGCAGTTTGGATAGTGGTGGTATTATCATGCAACATTACATCATGTGTAATGACGGCATCTTCTCCTCTAATCAAGCCTGTGGTTGCATGAGTTTCATTTATATGAACAAGATTGTCGAAGAAGTCCATGAAGAACCTTTTGAAAACACAGTTTAATTAATTTATTGGACGAGCTGTCGGATTGCGAACATCATGAGTCGCCGTGATGAAAGTTTCGCTTCGGCACACTTGCAGATATAATTCTTGTTATCACATTTTCGTATATAGAAAACATAATGAGAGTAGTGTCTGGTAAATCTGAAGTTGAAAATAGGTGTCCATGAAGAAGGCTGCAGAATTGAACGTTCGTTTACTCTGTAGTAGCAAGAGCGTGTGTCTACTTTTTGTTCCACATTCTATTTGAATAGCTTATTGTCATGTATGTAAAGAGTATAAGACATTGTTTTGGTCAAGTTTTTTATTTAAAACCAGAACGAATAAGATGTAACTGTAGCAAGGTTTGAAAGATCACATCAACAATAAGTGATTTACATGTGTGTATCAAAATTTATCTCTTATGGTAATCTTTGATTCTTCTCCAATTATTATACTAAAGTTATTTATGAGCTAAATACAACATAATTAAGACGATTTTTGAAGAATATCAATTATTATTACATAAGGTCTCAACATTAGTCATACAGCCTTAAAATGTTTTGCTATTTTTTAGTGTCTTGTAAGTGGAGAAACATATATATATATATATATATATATATATATATATTTCTATAAGAATAATATAATACCTTGATCATTAAAGTAATAATCTTAATTTTTTTATATATAATTAGAATATTAATTCATCAATCAATAATAAAAATTTGAAATGTAATTATACTTAAATGTAATAGATTTTTAAATATTATAGTTATTATCCGTAAATAAAATATATCAAACATGAATAATTTTTAATATATTAAAATAATTAAAATATATAGATAAATTAATTAAATTTAAAATAAAAACCGAGATCATGGTATATTAAAAATCATGTTATTTACTATCATATTTTTTCAAGAATATGAATTTCAAAGAAAAAAATCTTCAATACATTCTTGTGTCACTCAAAAAAACCAAGAAATCACTCAAAGATGGTAATATATTGAACTAGAATGGCTATTGCTAAAGACAAGAAGCATAGAAAGTTTTGAAACAAGACTTAGGATTAGAAAGACGTTGCTAAGAGTGAAGAAGGCTTTATTCTTGCCTCAATATATACTTTCTAACTAGGAGCTATGTGACAATATTCTATAAGATTTCCAACATGTGTTGACTTTGCTAGACACATGTCTTAACTTCCAAAGCAAGTTATTTATATGTATGCCATATAGTTAGCTTGTTCCATAAGCTATAATATGTATATCACATGGCAAACTTGTTGACCAAGTTTTTAGCCTATTAATTAATTATAAACACATGTAAAATCAAAGTAACATCTATAAAGCTTTTAGGAAGCTTCTCTAAAAGATATTATAAAATAAATCTATTTTTATCCACTTCTTTCTAATCATATAGGTAATTATTCAAATAAATATATATATATATTAGTGACATTATCTCCTCTTTTAGGGATAAGTTCCAGAAGAAGGAATCATTATACATTGAAAAAATTCAAGATGTGGCAAATTATATTTGCTACATATTTTAATCTTTGTTTTTTTTGAAGATGGATGATAAGTCTTTTTAACCATTGATAATATCTCATATTAAGGTAGAAAGATCACCCTATTATTTGATTGTTGTTGAGATCTTCATAACTCCTTTTAAATAACATATTTGAAATATTGTCAAGAGTCCTTGCTACCTCTAATAAATCATCAAATATAAAAAATTTCTTCCAAGGTTGTGTTATCAAATATGTTGTATTTCACCATTTATTCAAAGAAAGACATATTGTTCTTGAAGATCTTCATCTTTATTATGTCATCTTGAAGGTTGTAACAATTGCAATGTCTTGTCCAATAAGTCAAAAATTGATAGCTTTTAAATTAAATATGATGGTTGTTGATTCTCCATCTCTTTAGCATCTGATATATATATATAGAAGCTACAAATAAGTGTAGAAGATAGAATCTTATATTTTTAGAAGCTTATTTCTTTTATAACAAAGATTTTCTATTCTTTATATTGGTATTGATAGATGTCGTTAATGAAAAGCATCAACCTTCTTTATGGTATCTATAAGATTCTTTATTGGCTTCCATATATATTTATTAATATTATATTTATATCAATAAACAAGATATTTCAATCTATTTTGGTGCCACCTTGAATCTAAGACTTCTTCTACTTTAAACTCTTCATTATTATCCACTTCTATAGGAAAAGGTAGCATTTTTCTTCTTTCCAAGATATTCATTGTCTTATATGGCTCAAAAAGAGAAACGTGGAATATGAGATGGATTTTTATAGACTCTAGTAGATGTAATTGATGTGCAACAAGATTGACTTGTTTACAAATTAAAAAAGGTCCAAGCCTATAATAGCCCAACTTATCACAAGGACAAGTAATTTTGATATTGCAATAAAATAATATTATCTTGTTACCCACGTTAAAATGTGGTTACTCTTTGCAATAGGTATATGCATTGATCTTTTATCATTCTTGAGCTTCTTTTAATTGTGCCTTCATTGTTGCATATAGCTCTAAGAAATTATTTGTGAAATCTTCTCCCATAAGAGTATCAATTTTTAAAAAGTCAAAAGTATCAAATCATAGATGATAACCATAATTGATAAAGAAAGGTGTTTATTGAGTAGGAGAATGTATCAAATTATTGTATGCAAATTCTACTAATGGCAAAAGAATTATCTAATCATCTTGATGATAGTTGATGATAAATCTCAAATATTGCTTCAAAACTTGATTCATCCATTATTATATTACGTGTTTTCTTGCTTTAGAATGTACTTGGCACCTAGCTATGGAAGATAAGTAAATATGCAAAAACAATCCTATCAAGTTTAATAGAATCTTAAATAATCTTAAGTAGACCTTAATAATTTTGATTGAACTTTAATCAATCCAAAATAAATTCTAAAAAAGTTATAAAAAATAAAAAGAATCCTAAATAAATAATAAAAATATTAATATTAATATAATCTTAATTAAAATCCTAATTGAATCTTAACCAAATCCTTGGTCAATTCTTAATTGAAATCTTAATTGAATCTTAACTAAATCTTAATGAAATCCTAATGAAATCCTAAATCCTAGACAAATCCTAGACAAGTTTTAAACCAAATCTTAAGAAAATTCTAGATCAAATCCAAAACCAAATCCTAATCAAATCTTAGATCTTAAATAAGCTCTTAACAAATCTTATAATAAGTAGAACTTCAACAACTAATAATCAAATCTTTGTGCACAAATCTTATTTATGGCCCTACAAAACAAATAGAAGCCTATTTTGTAAAAAAGTAGCATTAATACTCTTTAGTTTTACTATCTTTTCAACTATTGTCTATATTTCTAAAATAATTTGCTCTAATATTTTAAAATAAGATATTCTATAATATATAGTTTTTTTTTTTCTTTTATTTATTAGCCATATTACATCATAACACTATTTTATTGCCTATCAATTTGAGAATGAAAAGCCAAAAAGAGTTTTATATCGACTTTTAAAATCTTGATACAAATGGTATGCCACTATTGGATATAATATTTTTAGACAATCCATGTTAGTAATAGATGTTGTGAAGAAAAAACTTAGTCATTTCTTTACTTGTGATAGATTTTGTATATGATACAACATATACCATCTTAGTATAACAATCTACTATCACGAACTTAAAATCATAAGAACTTGAGACTAGAAGATCTATGATAAAATCTATAGAAATAAAAGACCATAGTTGTTCTAAAATAGATAATGGCTGAAAAAATCTTTATAATCAATGACAAAAATTTTGGATGTTAAAAAAAATATTTTATGATTTTATAAAGTCTTTGAGTACCTTTTACATTTGAGGCCACCAAAAATCTTTAGATATTAGCTCCAAAGTCTTGTTATATCCAAATATTCAATTAGTAGAAAGTCATGAGAATCTTAAAGAATACATAATCATGCTTTATCTTCTAAAATATATAATTATTTTTTAAAATAGAGTAGATTATTCTTAAATTTGAATATAGAAGAATTACGGGATTTAAAAAAATTATTCTTAATATAATAAATAAGAAGATCAAAAGACATACTTGATAGAACTTGCTTGAAAAAGATTGAATCAACAGTCAATGTTGATTTTATTGTACAAAGGTAAAATGCTCAAACTTTAAGAAAATCATTTTTTGTTGATTAAAAGATACGTTTCTTTCTTTTGATATAAGATAATAATGTTTAGAAAGTATGTTTGATAAATCTTATTATTTTCTAGGTCAATAAGTGAACTTGAAATCAAATCTTGATAAAAACATGTTCCAATGAGTTTGGCAATGAT